GGCCATGAGTACAGATCGGAAACACAAAGAAGAATAGAGTCTCAATTAGATTTGAGAATTTAATGTTTATGAACTAAAAGTAAATTAGTGTCACTTATTTTTAATTCTTTTATAACTCAAAGTCTTTAGATTTCGTCTACTTAAACACGCGCCCATCACAATTTATACACGTGTCTCGTAGATCTTGGAGATTGCCATTAATGCATCGCTTCATTAATCATGTTTTTTTTAATAATAAACATATTATTTATTTTTGATTTTCAATACGGATTCATTAGACCTTCAATATTTTGAATTTGTAAGTTTTCACTTGTGTCTAAATTTTACCTGTGCGCCACTTCACACTGAAAATTTAATGGCTTGAATTTGCTCATCATCCCATCAATTATATATTTGTTTTTTATAAGAATACAAACAAAAATGTTGTTTAAATAGATAAGGATGCAATCAATATACTTAAAAAGAATGGTAGTTTAAAATTAAAATATTTTTCCATTGCTAATAATAATTTCATAACTACAAGTCTACTTTTTTTGTAATAGCCATACAAAAAAAGTGCATAGTTTTTTCCCCACACGTTTATCTTATATTATCCACTAATTAAACAAAGGATTGATACTCCTAATTATTTTGGTTAAACCACACATGCTTATTAATTAGTTTGGACAAAATAAATCTCCTATTCGGTTGAATATGGTTTTAATCAACTAATCATAATTAATTAATTAACTATTCCTTGCTGCCAAACAAGTCCTTAATAGTAAACCCAACCAGGGTTACTTTTGGAATAACCTTACTCCACACTGAACCAGCACCACTACCACTATATAATTAACGCCACCATCACTCTCTCTCTCTCTCTCCTCTCTCTTCATTTCATTTTTCCTTTGAATTGAAGAAAAGAAAAAGCAAAAAAAAGAAGAAAAAAATTCATAATTTTCTCCGAAGATGAGCTGCAATGGCTGCAGAGTGTTGAGAAGAGGATGCAGCGAAAACTGCATCTTAAGACCGTGTTTGGATTGGATCGAAACCCCACAAGCTCAGGGCAACGCCACCCTCTTCGTCTCCAAGTTTTTTGGCCGGAGTGACCTCATGTCTTTCATCGCCGCCGTGCCGGAAAACAGACGACCAGGTAAACTATCAATTCTCCCTCTTCTGCATGTGGGTCTTCTTTTTTCTTTTCTTTTTTCTTTTTGCAATTTAAAAATTAATGTTTTTTATTAATTTTTTGCTTTTTTTTTTTTTAAAGGGCGGGGCTTTGATACAATCGCTATTGTTTGAGGCGTGCGGGCGGACGGTGAACCCAGTGAACGGGGCGGTGGGGCTTTTGTCCTCCGGCAACTGGCACATCTGCCAGGCCGCCGTGGAGACGGTTCTCGCCGGCGGCGCTTTAAGAGCGGCGGCATCATTCGGGATTCCACCGCCGAACTCCGATGGAGAATCGTCGGAGGCGGCGGGCGGCGTTCGCATGGGGCGGCCGGGGTCAAC